CGAAAATATAACCGCCACTAACGAAAAATTCGTATTTCGTACGAATCCGAATCCGAATTGAGTTCAGTTACGAATTACGAAATACGAAATAACGGATATTCCGAAACGAAACAGAACAAATTTTTTGACGGCGCACAAGTCTTGTGGTTGGTGAATATAACGATTGTACAGACCGGCTACATTGTGTGCGGCCGGCTCCAGGTTTGCTGTTTTGAGAGATCCATCTGACTGGAGACACGTGCACATCAAAAGGGATGCTGGGGGTTCTCTCTATCTCCCTCTGATCAATGTTTATAAACAATGTTACTTTGTATCTCTCTATCTCCCATCTGAATCTCAATCTTGTTCTTCTAAAAATGCTCTACGGCTCTCCACGGACGGCAGTAGAAAGGAAAAGTGTAACATTTGTAATCCTGATTGATTTAACTGCATTTATTAAAGATGATAACGTTTATCTGAAGCAATATATATATATTTTGATTTTGAATGGGGTGTTTGAGGGTTAATATCTCGATCTAGCTGAATTAAATTTTTGTTTTAATGTAGAAAATGTTGGTTATGTGATTAGATGAAGCTCTGAGATCCTGAGAAATGCTGAATTAAGTTTTACTTGTTTAGAAGAACATTACATCTGAATACAGCATTGTGCAGGAAACATTTATATAGGAAAACTTCCTGTGTATCATAGATAATCATGCACATAGAAAACTAACTTTGCCCTACAGCGCCATCTAGAGTTCAAACATATCAGTATATGGCTATGCTGTTGTATTTCCAACAAGAAGGACCCTTGCTCTCTATGTGGAAGCAGAAGCCTCTCTGCAGAGAGTCTGACCTCAGTCAGATCTAGAGTTCTCCTATCTGCAGAGAGCATGAGGTTTGCTGATTAGAGAACTTTAGGTCTGATCCAACAGGGGGCATCTTGGACCTCGGCAGAGAGACCACTGCTTCCACACAGGGAGTAGTCTTCTTTCTCTGCATCATGCTGGCAGGGATCAGGCTTCTCTCCTCAGGATGTGGCTGTAGGACATTTATTTGATGCACGTGGAATGTATTTGGCTGACCGGAAGCCGAGTCGGGCTTTAAGGTATGTTGCACATCATGGAAATCATTCTCGGAATCCTCCTCATTCCTGATCCACCAGAAGTTATTTTCTGCGGCAAGGATAATAAAGCCTCTGAAGTGCCAAGAGAGAGACACGGGGCATCCTAATAAAGGACGGCGAGCGGGTTACGCGGTTGTTGTTTGTTACCCTTCCACACGCGCTACTCGCACAGAACATGTGATGATACTTCCAAGCGCTCGTCTCCAGTTCTCCAGTCTGCAGCCCAGCTGGCAGGTATTGGCTGGCGGCTGGCAGAGAACAGAACAGACACAAAATTACCTGTGGGTGAGGGACGGAAACAAAGCCGAGCTCCAATGACGGCACAACTGGCTCCCAGTAAGTGGCTTTAATTTACAATTATGGGCTGATTTGGTGCAACACCTGAGACACGACACGTGGAGAGCGGCCCAGCCAAGTGGACATTACGGATGTGTTCTCGAAGAATCAGACTTCCCCTCCAGGATCCTTTACCATTGTCTGTGTCTGTGTTCTCCTCCTATACGCAGGTCCATTGCTAGACCACTTTGCACCCCACGCAAAGCCAGCTACTTGCACCCCCCAGCCTCCCTCCTGTGGCACAACCCCCCGCCGCATGGCTCCTTTCACCTGATGGCTAGCTTCCACAGGCCTTCTTTACATTTTTAATTTAATTAATCATCTTTTACTTTTTTTATCTTATTTTTTTTATTTATAGTTATTTTCTTATTATTTTTTGCTTTTTATTTATTCATTTTTTACTTTATTTTTTAATTTCATTATTATTACTTATTATTTTTTATCGATTTTTTTTTCACTTAACTTTATTGCTATCACACAGTAGCTAACAATCCCCCTGTGTGATAGCATTTGGAGGTGACAGGTTCTCTTTATTGAGCCTGTCACCTCCAATACAGGAGTTCTAGCGCAGCACTCCTGTGACAGGGGGGAGAGGGGAAGAGCGCAGGGTTTAAACTAACCCTGCCGCTCTGCTCACCACTCTCCATCCTGAAGCGGCCAACGAGGCGAGGACGCAGCATGGAGAGAGATAGGGAACGGGGGGGAGGGGAGGAGGATGGACGGATCGGCTGCAATCCAATTACAAGTGATCTCGGCGACATCGCTGCGATCACTTGTAAAGAAACAAGCGGCTTCCCCCGTTCCACATTTAGCCCGGCTTGTGCACTGCAGGACTAAATGTAGAAAACAAATTACCGCCCCGGCACCCAGAACTCCATATTCCGGGTGTCGGGTGACTTCAAACCTGTGCCGCCCCGAGGCCGGGCCTCGGTGGCCTTGTCGGAATCCGGCCCTGGCCAGACTGCTATTGGCTATTTTAATTTGAAATAGCCAACAGCAGACGGGCTATTGCACCCGCCCACTGAGCAGAGGAGCACACCTGAGAGAGAAAGCAGTCTGCTATTGGCTTTTGCAATTTGAAATAGATGGGGTAAGGGGGGGAGTGGTCAAGGCTTCGCCCCAGGCAGCAGTGCGCCCTAGGCGGCTGCCTAGTGGAAGCACCGGCCCAGCCTATACATTGTATCAGTACAATGGTGAAAAGTCTTGTAGCACTTTGGCTTCCTGGTACCAGATACCCATCCTGAAAGCCGGGGGGGATGGGGAGGTGCACTGCAGACACAATGTTACACAACATCCAGGGGCCCTGCTTGTTACATTGCTTCCAGGAACCTGGTCCATCCTGTCCGCATGGGTTGTGACGCTCATAAGTATATGGGAACCAGTCTGAGTGAATCCCATTATGTAGGCAGCCAGTTCGCACGTATCATTTCTAGTGTCACCACTGAGGTCACCGGATCTTCCTTGTGCCCAGCGGCTGTGAAACTGACCTCCTCGCCCCGTCTTATCTAATAAGGAGTTTGTTCTGGTGGTGACAACGACACAACATTACTCATGCCTGGTGAGTTTGTATTTTATGCCGTAGCGTGGTGTAAAGGCCGAGCCTCCAGCTCACACTTGTCATTGGAATGCAGGAAGACGATGACATTAATCAGAGAGAAGTGCGACACCGAAAGATCCAAAACCTCTCCGGGAATATCGCACATCAACCGGCGCCATTCACCGGATCCGCTGCGCCTTTCTCCTGGACTCTCCTGGCTCAACCGGCTCGGAGATCTCTTGGGTTCGTCTTGTGATTACCTCTCATGTTCACAAAACGAAATATACTCACAGACCTCCCAGCTGAGCCCAGACCCCAGACCTCGGCGTCCATCCACATCCTGGACTGACACATCAGCTTAGAGATAACACAATCCTGTAAGTCCTGGTGCCTGCGCAGTTCTTCACTCTGTTTACAAAGGGAACCAGAAAGCAATAAAATCCTTGGAAACTCCATCTGGCTGATGAATAATTGTCACTGAGGTCAATGACATAAAACAGCCAACGCGCTTCAGGTGAATGGGGCTCCACCTTCTACAGGGCTTTCGGAGTGTTAGATTCCCTAACCCTAACACCCTCCTTCCCCTATCCCCAACACCCTCCTTCCCCTCTCCCCCAACACCCTCCTTCCCCTCTCCCCAACACCCTCCTTCCCCTCTCCCCAACAC